CCAACCTTCAGACTCAACGTCGATAAATATTCTCCCGATTATCTTGATCATATCATAAGTTGCGCTGTAAAATGGGTTTTTCAAATTGCCTGGCACCAATCGGGTTGATAGCAATCTGCCCTGAGTTTTAAATTCATGTAAATTTGTCTGGGAGATAAATGAATCTGGACTTGCCTAATCTATTTAAAATTCCGATTGCCAATGTTTTTTTTTCTCATCTTAACGTCTAACAGTTTCCTACTTTCGTTTCCTGCTTTGTCCCAGACTGTTTTTATCGCAAACACACCAACCTCTTTGTCATTCTTCTCCTTATCCCACTTTTGGGTTACCTTCGTTTCATACTGTGTGAACTCAAAACCGTCTACTTGATTCACCGAACACTTTTTAAAATGCTTCGCAAAAAGTCCGCGCCCGATGCAATTATGACTAATAATGTTTCTCACGGAACATTTTTCGCAATGGTTTGGTTTAAACCAAATCCCACAATTATGACACTTGTCTTGATTTTGGCCCTGTACGTCATTCAGTGACTCTTTCTTGATGTACCCTGACTGTTGACTTCCCGCGGTATTCTGTCGCCCGGGGTTAAACTTATTTCTCCCGAACTTTGGTAGGCCCTGTCAACTATATTGTACATCGTTTCGCCTCTCTTTCTCACCACTGCGAAATGTAAGTAATCCACCGGCGCTAGCGTTTCCATACACTGTTGTTTACGAATTTCTCCATTCCGTATGTTGAAAATAAACACGTCTCTCACTATAGACTCCTCTTTCGGACCAAAGTCTCATCCTCGGAATAAATAAGTTAATGCTCCAAAGAACTGTTCCATCCCCTCGTTTTCTCGTCGTTTTATTCCGAATAAGATAAAACTATGGTTTGTGACATTTGGTTTTTTTTTGACAAGCCTCCACCGGCAACATCCATAACTCCGTGAAGTTTATCTTCACAATCGGCTTACTGGGATATTTCTGGTAAAAGCTTCCTTCTCCCTGTTTTCCCAAAGACTTCAACGTTTTGTCCGATTATCCCCTGGTACTTCCCTGAAAAGTCTTTACTCTTCGTGAAACCTACGGGTTTCTCCTTCTCACCATACTCGTGCAGCCGTTTCAATCGGGCTTCCATTTATGTTCTCACTTGAGCTTCCTCCGTACCAATAGGTTCTTCCAAGGTCAGGTAAATATGTTCCGGCAACGAATTTTCAGCGAATAGATCGTCAATATCTATTTATGCGCCAAATTTTCCCAGGGTAGCTGCGGATCTTGAGTTGGTCCGTTCCAAAAAACATCTAGGCTACGATTGTTTGCTTCCGTTTGTGACTGCGCCATCTAGAAGTATATTTATTGGTTGCCTACCGACGTACGTTGTTTACAAAGAAACGTAAATAAAACAACTTGAATTTTTTTTAGGTCACCAGCACCAATGGCTGAACACACAGCACAGTTCACGACCTCTACCATAATGACCTTGATAGCATGAGTTAATAATATAATACAGAATACGTAATGAACATAAGTTACATAACACTCTCCACTACAAGGTCAATTATGGAACTCAAGGTACCTGCATTCTTGAGAGAAAACGGTTTCTCGATTTAAAAATCGACAATGATGTTATTCGAAAAAAGCTTCTTAGTTTTATAGCATGACTTTTTGAACCGCTCAGTAAATTAGACTCATTCATTTTTCGTCTACGAAAACCCTTTCTTCTGCAGCAATGGACCCAAAAAGGAATCATGTCCCAGATTCTTCCTTTTTGGAAGACTTCTGTAGTGGAAAACGGAATTCGACATGTGACACTGAATCTGTCATTCGCCGAGAAAGGCAAAAACTTTTTTAGATACAAAACTTGAAATAATTAAATGATTTGCTACTTCGGCAAAGTGAACAAAAAATTGTTGTATAAACTTTGATTTAATTTTTTTGTGTTTACCTCAACATGTACCTGATCTTTCCTCTTAACTTCAACGCTAAATAATTCTCTAAAGCTTACGCAAAAATCAATTGGTAAATAATTTTTTGATAAAATTTTTTATAGTTCTTTCGAATTCATGATAACCAGTTTCTGTTTTCGTATCGGACTTGTTCAACAAGCATTTCTTAGCAAAAACTACGACTAGTTTTCTTTGTTCTAACATTGACCATTCTGCCTATAAAATCTAATTACTCTTAAAGTTATAAAAAAAATCAAGAAAGCAATAGAAAAAAACGGAAGAAGTAAAAACGCATAACTTTTCAACTACAAATCATGTAGAAAAATTCTGTTTACAAAAGGACTTTATAAAATCGAAGGAGCCTCAATGATTTTTGGTCTGATCGTCAAAGATGACGAGAATCTGAAGAGAATTTTGGTATGTGTTATGTTTTTTTTGTCAAGCATAATGAGAAACTACCAAGGCTTCTCGTATAAAGTTGAACGACGTATGAAATGAAACCTTTACAGTTTATTTGATACCAATTCGAGCGAAGGTGGGCTTGAGCAAAGAATTTGACTAGCGTTAGATATTTTAAAGAAATTTTTAACAGATGTTTTTTTTGAAGCAAACACTCTTTATTTTTGCCGAAAGAAATGCCGACAATGAAAAAAGTTTGCTTGGATCTGAATCAACCGTAGGACTTGAACACAGGTTTTTCAGAGTTCCCTTTGAGGACTATATAATTTGATTTATTGGCAATAAAAAAAATGTTTTTTTTAAGCGAGTTAAAATTCTATATCCTATCAAATAACTTCTAAAACAAAATATTCGATGAATTTCTAAAACGCTCGTCATTTAACAATTTACGGGTAGAAGGGATAGGAGGGGGGAATCTTCTTGGTCTTTTTGTGTATATATCAGGAGGTCTGAAGTGAATGGAAACAACATTGACAACTCTTGTTTTCCATCATTGTGAGGAAACTAAGGGTTAGTTTTTGTAAAATAAAGGTAAAACAATAATAAAAAAGATTGAAATGGACCATCAAGTACCTGCTATTATGTTTAATTAAGTGATTTTACTTTAGATCTGACAAATAACAGCAATACAGATACAGGACTGTTCTTAGTTAGTTGCGCATTTGCAAAAACAAAAGTATTTTGACTCACTTGATAACCGCACTCAAAATTGCTTTGAAATAGTTACTCTTTAACAAAAAGTCTCAAAGACAAACAAGGATAGCCGGTTACTGTGCAAGTAGCGCAGGATATACCGACCATAATCTTAAAAAACACAATTTTTTTTTCAAGTTAGTGTCGTTTAGCGCTGCTTAGTGTGATAAAAGTAGCCGAACGAAAAACAAGAGATTAGGCATTGTAAATTTAGCAAATTGAAAAACAACTTTTGTAGAAAAATGAGTAGAAACACGAACAAAAATTAATTTTTTTTATTTTCTTAAAAGTTTTTTTGAATTTTTGAAGTTTTTGATTCCAAAAAGTCGCTAAAATACTCATAAAAAACTAACTTTACTTAAATAAAGCCTAAATTTTTACGTTTTAAATTAAGCTATTGTAAGCTTTCAAGCTGTGATACTGCTACTGCTACTGAGAATTAAAAACTCCTATTGTTATTATAAATTATTCCTACATTATCGAAAAAAAATTTCACTCGAGGTGGTATGTGATACTTCTACTGCAATAGCAGTAATGTGATGTAACCTTCAGTGAACTATTCTATTTATATTATACCATTGTCCAAGGTCACGGTATCTAAGACCTTCTGTACACCTCTGAGAGATCAGACGAACATAAATCTATGTAGATCTCAGCAGTTCTTAAAAAAGAAAACTATTCATTCAAGAACCAATTTAATTCTTTGGAATTACAAATTAATTTTCCATCAAAATACCTCGTAGAATATCACACAAGCCATTAAAATAAGCTATTGTAAGGCTGCTCGTTCGCTATATTTGCTCGAATTAAGACGAAAAACCAAAATTTTTAACCAAATTTCAAAAAAAATGCTTTCTATAATATCTTACTTTCCAAAATGAGGTAAATTTGTTTTGTTTTTGCGATCTTCTGCAACCCGTAATGTGATCAATGAACGCATGTTGATAAAAAATAGTTTATGGCAATTAAAAACTTCTTTCATAGCTGAAAGGGATTTAAAATAGGAATATGTGTACTAAAATTGAGGAAGAGTGGGCTTAATTAAATTCATTTGGAGAGGAAATAAGGAAAAGCAGTAGAATATTAAAGACTACTTTCTCTAATCGCATCCTTATCATGAGGTATAGAGAGCCGAAAAATTATCTTTAGACCATCAGTCTTCTACATCATTATTGCATTATTTTTAGACAGATAGGAAAGAAATCTGTTCTTCCTGGCATTAAATCTGTGCTAGAAAATCGATTGAATTCAGCTGAGAAATCTGGCATTTTGTTCACTTTAAGCTTTTAGCTTCAAAACCGAGCAGTGTCAGTGTGCGAAGAAACCACAAGCCGACACGAAAAAAGCGCAGTCGACAATTAACAGTAGTCAAGCAATCGGAAAATTCCATGTTAAATCGTTTAAAAAACAGATAGCGTATGGATTGTATGATTAAAGGTAGAAGAAAGATCGTGATGTATTGAGCACAGCTGGATGCTTTTTGACGATTAAGGGGGATGCTTTTTAGAAATCTAAATTTTGCAGACGGCTTCGATCAATTTTTCGGTTGGTCAGCCCCCTTTAAATTTATCGCTTTAATTTATTTATGTCTGAAAACCCTAGATTTTTTTGTGCTTTTGTTTGGTGAAACTCATTGAGACATTTACTATTTCTTTTTTATTGGCGCTTACCTTAGTTAATTTCCCACAAATTGCATTCTGTGTAAGGCAGTTAACCTTTATTTTTAATCCCACGCGCTCATTCGTAGCGTCTTAATTTCCCTAAAAAATTTACCTAATTCCTCTGTTATATATTTTATTAACTGTGCATATATGCTTTCCTGGGGGATTTCAGGCGCTGTTGTTGTCACAGGTTCCCAGGGGAAGGAAAAGTAAAGAAAATCTGAAAAGGTGAGCTAGATTCAATCATTATACACCATATAAATAGTTTTTTCTGGCCCTCACAAAAACAAACCACCCATTTCTAAACTAACTGAACGGTGACTGGAGAAATGCATCCCCGTAGTGGTAAACTGAGCGTAATTTCTTTCTTTTTAAAAACCGGATTGTCTTGAGCATACCGTAACTAATCTGAAATAAGTGAGTGGGAGCAATTTTTGTTTTCTGTGGGTTGTTCATTTCAATTGCGGTTGTCTTTCGATTTATCTTCATTCCATTTTTCTTACTCCTGTTATCTGCTTTCCTTCTTAATATTTTGACTTCGACCGGCTTGGAATACTTTATGCGGAGGTCGATTTAAATTTGCCTTCCAAGCGAAAAAAAAAACCTTTTTAAATTAGTTCTCTTTCATTTTACCGGTGTGATTTTTGTACTGAAATCGGTGACATTGAAGGGAAAAAATAATAGCAATAACAATACTGAAATACTGAAAAAAATAATACTGAAAAATCAACACGCCTTCTATAAATAACGAACAAAAATTAACACCAAAATAGAGGAAAGCTTTAAAAGGCAATCATTCATTACGTCAATAATTAAATAGCTTCACTATTGACGCAGGTAGTTTTAAAAATAAACTTAATCATGACGAAAACAACGAAACGCTCTAGCGCTAAAAAGGTTCAAACGTCTTACAAGTTAATATGTCTCTAAATTTTCTTACTTAAACATAAGTGGGTTTCGTTTTGCCCTGATTAATCCAAATGCATTCCCTTTGATGACAAAATCCTTTCATTTGAGTAGAGAAAACGACATCGATTATAGTTTTGAGTCAGAAACAGAGAGTGAAAACCAAGTATTGTTGCTGTATTGTTGCAAGTAAGTAATAACGGATGATTCCGAGCAGTTACATTTTAAAACAAATTTTCAAGTATACGAAAAAAAAACTAAAATGTGACCTTTCCAAGCAATTGTTCATTGTTAACAAATGTTAAATGGGGTGATAATAAATTTGTTTTTTTTTCAAGTGTTTGTTTTATGGAATATTTTCAGTTTAGTTAACCTCAATTTAGTCTCAATTGAGTTCTTTCCAAATGCAGCTTGAATTGTTGCTTAAAATTCTTTTGAAATCAAGGCTCTGGAGACCAGCTCAGCATTTTTAGTACATTAAATCCAATTTCGGAATAAAATTTTTCATTTCCATTTTCCATCATTCAGGAAAGCATAACCTAAAACGACCGTTTTATGTAAGATATCAATTGATGGAAAAGGTACTAGAAAAGAACCAAAATAATTTTTTCATCAAAATTTTATGAATGTTAAACAAGAATAGCCGGTTGCTGTGCAAGTTGCACAGAATGCTTTGACTATATTCATTATAATAACTACAAAATTTTCTTTTTTCCCAATTGTATCTAAACAAAAACCTAGAAATTTGATAGTAGAAAAATTGACTAAGTTTGATGACAATTTTCCACATAAAAATAATAAAATTTAAAAATCAAAAAATTGTAAATTCTTTATTTTTGGAAAATGTTTTCAAATTTTTGCCGAAAGTTTTTTGCTCGTTCTCAAAATTTTTATTTTCAATACCTCGCTGAAAAAACCTTTCAAAGCAATTTCACTGGAATAAAGTTAAAATTTCTTGGCCTATCCTTCTATAAAAATCTGCCCGTTTGCTTTACTCGCTCGAAACTGAATTAAGGCTCAAAAATTTCAAACTAGTTTTTCTCGACACTGGGATTTTTTTTGGAAACTTTTTAATGTCATTCGAATAAAGATTTTAAAAGTTTTTATATGATATATCACTTAACACAGTCAATGATTGTTTGTGGTACATAATTTTGTGTGGAAAAAAAACAAGAAAAAAAAGAAAAAAAAACACTAAAACACACCTGAATACAAAGTTCCTACTCATTTTCAATTGTGGGGACAAAACGGGCTCTTACGGTTGAAAAAGTACTTAATTAAGCTTGGTTTGTGCCGAGTTCAATTTGATTATGCGCTAACATCATCGAAGATCGAATCATGGTAAAAGAAGTTTTACTCAATCCTTGAAAGGAATTAAGCCCAATCTATCAATCAGGTCCTTAGGAGATTTCGCTGTAATAATTGAATTTATGTATATAAAAACACTCCAGGTTCCAAAACGTTTTCATATATCAGGTGCTCTGAGCATCAAATAAAAAATTTTGGGCCGTTTTAGAAATTATATTGAAAAAAATGTTGAATTTTTCACGACATTTAATTATTGCGAAACGTTAGGCGCTGATATTTGTTATATAAAAGAAATTTGTCATTTCTGTTGAAAATTTTAAGTGCAATTGGAAGTTACCCTGAACGATTTAATACACTTGTGCGAAGGGTTCAATTTTTCAATACAATAATTTTTTTTGAAGTTTGCTTAGTAAACGTGACAGGTCGTGTCAAAATAAAGAAATTTTCATAACTGTTATTGATTATGCTATTTACTGACTCAAATTTTTGACTCTGGGAGTATTTTGTGGCAAAAGAAAGTTGAGTTTGTAAAATAGCTCATCAATGTTTTTGACGTTTTTGAAGTATTCGACGTTTTTGACTCTTTGTTTTGAGATTTTTTTTTTGCGAAGGCATAATTTTTATCAAGTTTTATGCAAAACTTTTATGCACTTTTTTCACTCAATTTTTTTATTTTGGGAGTATTTTTTAGGAAAATAAAATTGAGCGCCAGAAAAAATACAATTTTAAAGGCTGAATTTTGTAGCAAAAATCAACATTTAAATTGTTCCAATTTTTCTGTTATAAAATCTTCAAAACTGCGTCTATCCTTCTGAAAATATACCGTGAGGCGAGTTGGAATTCTTGTTTGATCCTCGAGCTTAAGTCAAACATGAAATTCAAAAAGTGCCCATTGTGATTGACTAAAATTGAACTACAAAAAACTGGTTAAGTTTACTGAAAACAGGTCATGTCGAAGTCAAGTTAAAAATAGGTGAGACGCAAAGGTAGGATTAGGCTTTTTGAAAAAAAAAATTGATCGACTCTTATTGACTCTTAACCAGTTTTAGTCTACAAATTACCCTCAGAATTCAAAGTTGTGCTAAGCAAAAGCAGAATTAACCATTAACAAGACAAAGCAGAATTAACCATTAACAAGACTGCTCGTATCAGGGCAAAGCCCTGAATGTTCCGACTGCATTTTAAGGTCTATTGAGCAGTAATAACATGAAACAAATTGAATGTAATGTAATAAAATAATTTTGTTTTAAATTGAGGTTTTTGTGAAAATAATTTCGCTACACGCCATTTAAAGTACAAAGTGAGAGATTTCGCTCCCATTAACTAATCAATTTGGCAAATAAGCTTCCTTTAACCAATTTGGAACGATTTTTAAGATGGATTAATTCTCCGCTTACGCGTTAATAGCGCGAAATATATCGCGCGTTAGTTGTCCCAACTCGGCCGAAATGGCAATATTTAAACCCCCCTAACTTTGCGAAATAATTTTTTCAAATTTAAGCTCAGGACAACAATACCTTTCGAATGATCTAAAAAAGTTCCGTCAAAAATGGCTAGTTAAAATGTCGAAATTTGTCTGAAGAAAAAAAAACCCACCCGAGCACAAATATTACTTTTGTTACGAAAGTCGAAACAACAACAAATTTAATGTTGAATACTGGCAGTTTTTTTTCTTTGAGAAAATTATTACAGAACTTATTTTATGCTAAATTCACCTGATTTTGACAAGCTGGACAAAATATGAGTTCGGTTTGCATACAATGGTATGTAACGAATCAAAACTAGCTGTATTTGGACTGTGTTTCAAATTTACTCGAGAGAATACTTGCGAACTCCCAGTCGCCCAAGTGCAACAGTTCCCAAGTGGAAACATTTTAAATCAATTATCCGACATTCTGAAAAAAACTGTTTTGAATTCAAAGTTCAACAAAACTGCTCGTACCAAGGCAAGGCTCCGAATGCCGTTGTTTTTTTAATGTTGTAGTTTGAACTCAAACAATTGATGAATTTTTCAAAAAAAGAAAAGTTTCAAGAAAAAAAAATGTCAGTTTTTTTTTTGAAAATCATCCTCTCACACGCTATGGAAAGTACAAAATGGTACATTTTGCATATATCAACAGAACTGTTTGTATCAGAGAGAGTGTTCCAATTGCAATATAAGGTCTATGGTGTAGTGTTCGTTTTTGAAAAATGGGTGAAATTATTTAAAAAAATGAAAAAAAAACTCAAAAATTGCGTTTTTTTAAAATCATCCCCCAATTTGAAGCACAAAGTGATATATTTTGCATGTAGCAAAGCATGAAATAGACTAAATATGATGCATTAAATTAACTTGGAATGGTTTCTAAGACGGTTAAATCTCCGTTCCGCTCATAGCACAAAATATATAGCGCGTTAATTATCCAAAATTGGCCAAACTGGCATTTTATAAATTTCCCCAACTTCACAAAAAGATCACAGGTGAAAAATCTTTTTGTATTGAGCTGAAGACAACAATACTTTTTGAATGATATAGAAAAAAAATCAGGCAAAAGCTGCTTGTTTAAAGTCGAAGTTTGTCTTGAGAAGAAAAACCGCCCAAGCAAAAATATTCCCTCATGTCTTCAAAAGTAGTCAGAAAAAAAAGCTTAAGTAGAGGAAACAGCATGCCTCTATCCAATTTTGGTCGAATGTTCAAACGGATTATATCTCTGCATACGCGCCAAATCGCGTTAAATAGGAAATATATCCAAATTATATAAATATAAACATACTTTGAACCCCAAAATTTTTCGAAAATTTATCTAAGGTGAAATATCCACTTAATTTTGAGCTCAAGACAACAGTACCTTTTGAAAGATTTATCAAAATTCCATCTAAAATTGCTAGTTTAAAAAAAAATTTGTTTGAAGACAAAAACCACCCGAGCACAATTATTCTATCTTTTTCTTCGAAAATAGTCGGAACCAGGGGTGGATTTAGGGTGGGGGGGGGGGGCGGAGTATGCGGACGCTCCCCTGGCTCAGGCATTCGACCCTCTACCGACCCAAAGGGTCCCCACTTTGTACTATTTTGAGATATCCATTTGGTGACGTACCCTAAAAGTTTTTTAAAGGCCAAGAAATACTAAGCGCGCGCCAAAAAAAGGGAGAGCGCGCGTCAAAATTTTCGAATTTTTTTTGAAAATCCGCCCCCTCGAGAAAATCCTGGATGGGAACAATAAAACTTGACGTCATTGAATGAAAACAAGTATTGCTGTTCTTTTTTCATTGTGCTGAGCTCCGCTCGTATTAAATTTTTCTTGCTGCTGTGAAACTGGATTGAAAACAATTTGCCGAAAAAAGCGAGCAATTGAAATAAACAAGACATCAAGAGGAAAAAGGTTAGACGAAAACCTAACTTTACTGAATTTTTTTATTATTAAAAGTCTGCTGTAACATGTCCCAGCTGATCAACTTTACCTAAACTACCTATTTACTTTTTTAAAATTCTATGCTGTTTTTCAAGAACTGCTATTTTTTGCGCTTTTGTCAATTTTTTTTGTCAGTTGAATCTATTTTTTCCTAAGCGGTTCTAGGCAAGCCTGAATTGGAGTAAAATAGGATTTTGGGGCGGTTCTGGAGTTAAACATAGGCGCTACGCGCAATACACCGAAGGCATAGAAACTGAAGCAAAAACCAAACAACTTGAACAACTAATAATTGAAGAATAACAGTTCTAGAACAAAAAATCGTACTAATACATGTATACACCAAAATTTTGCTATATCGAGAAAGAGCCTGAAATAACAGTTCTAGAACTAAAAATCGTACTAACACATGTAAAGGTTAAATTTTTGATATATCAACGAAGATCATAAAATAACACTTCTAGAACTAAAAATCGTACTAACACATGTATACACCAAAATTTTACTATATTGACAAAGAGCCTGAAATAACAGTTCGTGAGCTAAAAATCGTACGAACACATGTATACACCAAAATTTTGCTATATTGGCAAAGATCATGAAATAACAGTTCGAGAGCTAAAAATCGTACTAACACATGTATACGTCAAATTTTTGCTATATTGACAAAGATCATGGAATAACAGTTCTAGAGCTAAAAATCGTACTAACACATGTATACACCAAAATTTTGCTATATTGACAAAGATCATGGAATAACAGTTCGAGAACTAAAAATGGTACTAACACATGTATACAATAAAATTTTGATATTTGACAAAGATCATGAAATAACAGTTCGAGAACTAAAAATCGTAATAACACTTGTATACACTAAAATTTTGATATATTGACATAAATCATAAAATAACAGTTCGAGAACTAACAATGGTACTAACACATGTATACGCTAAAATATTGCTATATTGACGAAGAGCCTGAAATAACAATTCTAGAGCTAAAATCGTACTAACACATGTATACACCAATATTTTGCTATATCGACAAAGAGCCTGAATAAACGTTGTAGAACTAAAAATCTTACTAACACATATATACACCAAAATTTTGCTATATTGACAAAGAGCCTGAAATATTGACAAAGGACCTGAAATAACAATCGTAGAACTAAATGTCGTACTTACGCATTGTAGATCAATTTCTATAGCTATAATAAAATACAAAAGATTGTGTTTGTATGTGTAGCAAAACGCCTCCTGTTTTACACCTAATACAAGTATACACAGACCAGTTAATTGAAACTACAGTGTACCTGTTACAAGTATACACAGATCAGTTAAACTAAAGAAACTGTGTACCTAATACAAGTATACACGATCAGTTGATTGAAACTACAGTGTACCTAATACAAGTATACACAGCAGTTGAAATAGAAAAACTGTGTACCTAATAGAAGTATACACAGACCAGTTGATTGAAACTAGTGTACCTAATACAAGTATACACAGCAGTTGAAAAAAAAAACTGTGTACCTAATACAAGTATACACAGACCAGTTGATTGAAACTACAGTGTACCTAATACAAGTATACACAGCAGTTGAAATAGAAAAACTGTGTACCTAATACAAGTATACACAGATCAGTTGATTGAAACTACAGTGTACCTAATACAAGTATACACAGCAGTTGAAAAAAAACTGTGTACCTAATACAAGTATACACAGACCAGTTGATTGAAACTACAGTGTACCTAATACAAGTATACACAAAAGTTGAAATAGAGTAACTGTGTACCTAATACAAGTATACACAGATCAGTTGATTGAAACTACAGTGTACCTAATACAAGTATACACAGCAGTTGAAAAAAAACTGTACCTAATACAAGTAAACACAGACCAGTTGATTGAAACTACAGTGTACCTAATACAAGTATACACAAAAGTTGAAATAGAACAAACCAAAAATAAATAAACATAAAAAAATAAATGAATAAATAAATACATACATGAATAATAAATAAAAGCAAAACTAAATGAAAGAAAATAATTAAATAAATATAGCAATAAATATCAACGAATAAACAAAACACACCTGATAAATAAATAAACAATAAAAAAATAAATCAATACATAAATAAATAAATACATACATAAATAAATAAATAAATAAATAAACGCAAAACTGAAATGTACAAATAATTAAATTAACATGACAAAATATATGTCTCATGAACAAATAACCAAACAAACAGACCCATAATATAAATAAATGAAAGTAAATGAATTAAATAAATACACATACATAAATAATAAAAGCAAAACTAAATGAAAGAAAGAATAATTAAATAAATATAGAAATAAATATCAACAAATAAACAAAACACACCTGATAAATAAATAAGCAATAAAAAAATAAATCAAAACATAAATAAATAAATAAATAAATAAATACATAAATGAATACATAAATAAATAAATATATAAATAAATAAAAGCAAAAGTGAAATGTACAAATAATTAAATAGACATGAAAAAATATATATGAACAAATAACCAAACAAACAGACCCATAATATGAATAAATGAAAATAAATAAATGAAATAAATACACATACATAAATAATAAAAGCAAAACTAAATGAAAGAAAGAATAATTAAATAAAAATAGAAATAAATATCAACAAATAAACAAAACACACCTGATAAATAAATAAGCAATAAAAAAATAAATCAATACATAAATAAATAAATAAATACATAAATAAATACATAAATAAATAAATAAATAAATAAAAGCAAAAGTGAAATGTACAAATAATTAAATAGACATGAAAAAATATATATGAACAAATAACCAAACAAACAGACCCATAATATAAATAAATGAAAATAAATAAATTAAACAAATACACACGCAGAAATAATAAAAGCAAAACTAAATGAAAGAAAGAATAATTAAATAAATAAGCAAAAAACGTGATAAAAATAAACAAAAATAAATATGTACATACATAAATTATAAATAAATATAAGCAACCTAAACATAATTAAATAAATAGAAGAACAGATAATTAAATAAATAAAGGTGAACAAATAAAGAAACAAACATACGCAATCACGTGACATAGCGCGATATAGTCCAGCCCACATGATAATTGATAACTGTGGACGTTATTTGTCGACACTTGACAACAGACAACATTAAAAAAAAACCACGTTACACGATACCATAACACCTTGACTAAAGTCTTCGGTGTAACTAGAGGAAAAGAAAAGAAGACTGCTCGTATATCGGGGCAAAACCCTGAATGTTCCGACTGAACCTGAAGCCAAATGGAATGTTTTTTTTTGGTGGAATAATTGACAAAATATTTGAAAAAAAAAATGTATATATATATATTTTTGTTCTTATTTTTACCCCCCCCCCCACATGCTGTGCAAAACACTAAGGGTCTGTTTCGCGTCTCGAGTTGTGATAATAAGATTAAATTGCTGGTCTCAATTCAATTTGGAACGCATTAACTCGCTTCTTACGCGTATTATAAGTACGCAATGTAACGCACTTTAATTATCCCACATTGGCCAAATTAGCAAGTTTCAAACGCCCGTAACTTAACGAAAAATGATCACTCACAAGAATTTTGTTTTAATTTGAGCTTAAGTTAACAATAGCTCTCAGATGGTATAAAAAGCTCCGTCAAAAACGCTTAGTAAACAAGTCAAAAATTGGCTGAATAAAAGAAACCACACCAAGAATAAATATTCCTCATTTTCTTCGAAAGTTGGAACAATTATATGTTGATTTTAAATGCTTCTTACAAAAATTTTACCTTAATATTCATTTTGGCATTTACTAGCTCAAATTTCAGGGAACGAACGATCGTTTTGCCTCTAATTAAAAAGACTTTTGGTGACTTGAGGGCTAAAATGCTCGCTGACTGAATGGGAGGCAACGGTTTTCAGCGCATAAAATATAAAAAAAAATTGCATGCATGTTTTGAATAGGGATAAAAACTGTTCTGTGTAAGAGCTAGGCAGCTAGTATTATGATACTTTTTCATATAGATCACCAACGTTAAATCACCAAAAAAATTTGTTAATTTCAAGAGGCCAATTTTAGCAATGAGCACCCTAAATTTGAAAATTTGCGATGAAGAATCTAGAGCCATTTTTCAGTTTTCACTTTAATGTTTATTGCCAAAAAATACCAGACGCTGGTTCTTTCAGGCCTCCTCAAAAAACAATGTCGCGAAAAAATGTGCATTCGAAAACCAACTGCACCAATTTCTTCGGGGTAAAATCGTATGTGCACAAGTTCTACGAGAACCAAAGTGCGGACCTGGATGACTCGGAATACGAGAGCACTCACCCGAATGGTCTGGAAGACGAACACGTGACCCTTACTCCCCTTCCAAAATATCCATGCGCATACTCAAAAAGGTAATGCTGGCATTCTCGTTCTATGACAATCCACATTGCTTTACAAAGTGAACTTTGCCGTAGTCCGAAAACGAAATAAAACGACCAAGAGTTCCGAAAAGAAACGAAGAAATTAGACAAAAATTAAAAATTAGGAGCAATAACTAAAGAGGAACAAAAGTTACTATGTCGAAGACAAGAAATTCGGCTATTTGCAAAACTGCATTAAAATTTTTTCCTCGCAGAATAAGATGCAAGTTGTGAAGTTGAGAAAGAAAATCGATAATTCCGAAAACCTTTCTTTTTTGATATTTGATAAATCCAATAATGAATACATTTTTTTGATTGTTTGCTATAAAATGTATTGGCTCATCGCCAAAAACAGGACTAAAACTGACTATTTAGGACTGCTATTTCTACGGAAGTTTAAAAATCTTTCATTTCAGGTGGAACAAATTTGTCTATTTTGGGACTGTGCTGTTGGTTCTCGGAATCCTCTTGTTGATTTTCACTCACTCAATTCCACTCAAGAAAGTCATCGTCGGATACCAAAACGGAGAAGCTCTTCAAGACAACAAAGCTGCTTTTTTCGACCGCGAAGTAGAGCTAGCCACCATAATCGGCCTATCCGTGGTTCTGCTAGGAGGACTCATACTCGCTTTTTCGATATTGCTTCCCGCTTTCTTCAAAGACGAAGACGAATACCCGCCCGATTACGTCATCAAAGTTCCGGCTGACAAAGTAGTCTACAAGAGGTTGTCCAAATCAGGAGACCAGATTATTCCACACAGCGGAAAAATAGAAAACGTGCAACCTGCACCGGCTGAAAATGCTGGCATAAAATTTTCAGTGAAAATAGAAGAAAGATAAATTGTTGAATACAGGGGCGGATCTAGGATTTTCTCGAGGGGGGGGGGGCGGATTTTCAAAAAAAAATTCGAAAATTTTGACGACCTTTTTTTTTTTTTAGGCCGACCAAATTGATTTTTCGAGCTCTCCCAAAGCACTGTTTTGCCCCTGTTTTGCGCCGCAGGCAAATTTTTCAAAAAACAGTCAAAAAAGCCGTTTTTGGGCACTTTTTGAAAAATGTTGACAAAAAAATCGCGTTTTTTTTTTGGCGCGCGCTCCCCCTCAAAGTTAGTATATATTGGCGCCAAAGGCGCCTTTAGAAAAATTTCAGGGTCGGTCGGCCAAAAATGGATTTCTGAAAAAGTATCAAAGGGGGAACCCTTTGGGTCGGCAGGGGGTCGAATCCCTGAGGAAGAAGCGTCCGCCCCCCCGCCCCCCCCCCCCTAAATCCGCCCCTGGTTGAATATATGTTAGTTTAAATTGATGTGACTGTTTACTACTTATTGCTTTTTGTTCCGCCTTCCGTAACGATAGTAACGGAATATTTGTGCTCGGGTAGGTTTTTTTTCTTCAGACAAGTTTCGACTTTTTAACTAGCCATTTTTGACGGAATATCAGTCAAAAGGTATTGTTGTCCTGAGCTTAAATTTTAAAAGATAATTCACCTGTGATCATTTTTCGTAAAGTTATGGGGGTTTAAAGATTGCCATATTTCGCGCTATTAACGCGTAAGCGAGATTTAATCCGTCTTAGAAATCGTTCCAAACTGGTTCAAGGAAGCTTATATGCCAATGCCATAACTGATTTGTTAATAGGAGCAAAATCTATCACTTCGTACTTAATATGACGTATGGGGGGATGTTTTCACAAAAAATTCCAAAGTTTTTTGAAAACATTTTTGAATTTTAATTTATAAAATTTAAATTTTTCATGTTATTACTGCTCCATAGGCCTTAAAAGGCAGTCGAAACATTCAGGGTTTCGCCCTGATACGAGCAGTCTTGTTTATTCTTTGTGTTTTTAATTTATCAGATTTTTGTTATTCAATTTGTTATTTCTATCATTACCCTGACACTAACACCTTTATCACCTTTTGGGGGAGCTAGCGTAAAAGTCTCTTAAATCGTTCCAGATATTCAATTCGCGCGTGCAGTTTGATTGCTTAAAGTTTAGAAATGCTCCTGCAATTTCTTATGAATCAGAAAAATTATTGTTTCCGAAACTTATGTGCTAGAAAAATAATCAAATCTTATTAGGGCAGTTCAGAAATCACTTTTTAAATTTATGTTCAATCAATCAATGGAAAAAAAATTAAAAATCCGTCATGGTCCAAGTTTTTTTCCGGTAGTGCCCTGTTTTTTTTTCGAATGTCCATAGTCTTCGACTGAATTTCGAAACGTCGCAACCCTATTTGGAAACATAGCAACCGAAACTGTAGCTTGGAATTGTGAATAATCAATAGCGAACGCGTCATCGTGTTTTATGGATGGATGATCTTTCAATATGTATTTGGGATAAGCTGAGTATTACAAACATCGCCTGATGTTATTTTATTGTAACACAGGAGACGAATGAGCCCCAAATTGCTATCTAATATTATGCCATCGATGGAGGTGAATTAGCTCGATCTCGAGGAAAATCGGGGCCTACTTTTCCGCGAACAATATAGGACCAATTGCCGTAAAATTCGGGCTGCTTCAACCCACTGAAAGATGTAAACAACAATTTAGATCCACAATATTGCAATTATGTTATCCAATTCCAATGATATGCAGGCTGTTGAGAAGAATATGTAACAAGAATGCTCGAATATCAGGGGGGAGCCCTGAATGTTCCGATTGCTCTATAATCCATAGCTATGAGTTTTTGGAAAAAAAATTCTCAAAAACTTTAAGCTTTGGACAATATCAAAGATTAATGTAAAAACTGAGGCGTTAAAAATTAAAAGGACCGATTAGCTAGCCTCTATTTAATTTCGAATCAATTTTTTTGTGCGGGAGAATTAGCCACGCATGATTAGTTCGAGTTACGCTTTCAGCGTTCTGAACAAAATCTTCAAATTAAGCCAGAGCATGGCTAAACTGGCAATTTTCAAACACTCAGAATTTTGTAAAAAAAATGATCGGAGATAGAATATGTTTTTGAGTTTGATTTCAAGGAGTCGATATCTTCATTGGGGTAAGCAACTGATTGTTAAAAGCTATTGCTTTGATTGCCGAAAATTGACTGAATTGAAAAAAAAATCACCCAACGCATAAATATTCCGTTTTCTTTGAAACGGAACAAAAAGACCTCGGGCATAAACAGGCAGGGGCAGATCTAGGTTTTTCTCGAGGTTTGAAATTGTCGAAATTTTTGTCGACCATTTTTTAGGTTGACCAAATTGATTTACTGAGCTCTTTCAAATCAAAATTAAGGACCCAATTTGCCAAATTTCCTGCACCGCAGGCTAATTTAAAAAAATGCCCAGAAAAATGGTTTTCAGGCACTTTTTGGAAAACTATGACCGAAAAATTGCGGTTTTTGGCGCGCTATCCCCTCAAATCTAGTATATACTGGCGCCAAAAACGCCTTTAGAAAAACTTTAGCGGTCTGTCACCAGAAATGAATAATTCAAACTTTGGGTCGGTAGGGGGTCAATTCCCTAAGGGGGATGGACGTCCGCCCCCGCTTCCCCTAAACCCGACCCTCGGCAAAAAACATAGCAAACGAACCATTAGAAATTGTCATTAAACTCATGAAAACAAAAAAAATTACAGTTGATCTTCAGTTATCGGAGAGCGCAAGTCGTCTCTTTTTCAGCATAAAAATTGAATTCAAATTGCAAAGTAATCAGAAGCCAAATAGCAAAACAATCGAACTTGAGCATAATAATTTTGAAAGACAATTCCTAGAAAAAAAATGAAAACAATGGAAATAAGTGCATTCACAACGTTCATTAACGTTTTCCTAAACAGGTTTAAGTGTGAAAAAAGTCAAATTATTGAACAGAAGTGTGGATGGATGAATTGACTCACGAAGAAATTATAGATCTGTTTTTGCTATCCATTCTTATTATTGCTACTACCATTGAGTTTATTGTCCATTTCCCCACTATGGCGTAGTTGAACATTCCAAAAATGCATCAGCAATGGTTCAGAAGAGGGAATTTTGAGTAGGATGCAAGCTATTCAATGGAGAATAACACGTTTTTCCATGCCATTCGATCAAGGCAGTATATGGGTTTGAAGCCTTCAGTTTTCAGGTTTGGTTCAACACAATCGATCCAGGGTCTTCTAGTCCTTCCCGCATGTCTTTTGTTGAGATAGAAACATGGTCTGTTGATTTTAGCGCGCAGTCATTTTCTTTTCGATGAAAATGGCTCAGTCATTGTAGCCGAGATAGGACTTGTAGCTTGTCCAGAGCAACAGAACCTGTCAAATTAATTTCGGCTTCTTCGGTTACGCTGTCTATATATGTGATCCTGTAATCCTGCGTGAAACTTTCCTATCAGCACTGTTAAAAGAGCTCGTTATTGCCGTGGTCTGCGCCCTATTTTCAGAACAGTACTTCAGAAGATCCGTTGATATGACACCTTGTAATCAAATCAGTACCTTTGTTCAGCAGCACAGGCGCAATTTGCCAAATTATGTCCAGAAAGTTGCTGTTCTTATCCGTGATGCATGTATTGCGTCTTTTCATGCGAAATCATATCACGCAGACAGCGAAACTCTTGACAGTTCTCCCGTATTTCCTTCAAAACTTTGCGTTTTTGACTGCATTTTTGGCCCAAAATTGACTGAATTGAAAAAAAAAATCACCCAACGCATAAATATTCCGTTTTCTTTGAAACGGAACAAAAAGACCTCGGGCATAAACAGGCAGGGGCAGATCTAGGTATTTCTCGAGGTTTGAAATTGTCTAAATTTTTGTCGACCATTTTTTAGGTTGACCAAATTGATTTACTGAGCTCTTTCAAATCAAAATTAAGGACCCAATTTGCCAAATTTCCTGCACCGCAGGCTAATTTAAAAAAATGCCCAGAAAAAAGGTTTTCAGGCACTTTTTGGAAAACTATGACCGAAAAATTGCGGTTTTTGGCGCGCTATCCCCTCAAATCTAGTATATACTGGCGCCAAAATCGCCTTTAGAAAAACTTTAGGGGTCTGTCACCAGAAATGAATAATTCAAACTTTGGGTCGGTAGGGGGTCAATTCCCTGAGGGGGGATGGACGTCCGCCCCCGCTTCCCCCTAAACCCGTCCCTCGGCAAAAAGATAGCAAACGAACCATTAGAAATTGTCATTAAACTCATGAAAACAAAAAAAATTACAGTTGATCTTCAGTTATTGGAGAGCGCAAGTCGTCTCTTTTTCAGCATAAAAATTGAATTCAAATTGCAAAGTAATCAGAAGCCAAATAGCAAAACAATCGAAATTGAGCATAATAATTTTGAAAGACAATTCCTAGAAAAAAAAAGAAAACAATGGAAATAAGTGCATTCACAACGTTCATTAACGTTTTCCTAAACAGGTTTAAGTGTGAAAAAAGTCAAATTATTGAACAGAAGTGTGGATGGATGAATTGACTCACGAAGAAATTATAGATCTGTTTTTGCTATCCATTCTTATTATTGCTACTACCATTGAGTTTATTGTCCATTTCCCCACTATGGCGTAGTTGAACATTCCAAAAATGCATCAGCAATGGTTCAGAAGAGGGAATTTTGAGTAGGATGCAAGCTATTCAATGGAGAATAACACGTTTTTCCATGCCATTCGATCAAGGCAGTATATGGGTTTGAAGCCTTCAGTTTTCAGGTTTGGTTCAACACAATCGATCCAGGGTCTTCTAGTCCTTCCCGCATGTCTTTTGTTGAGATAGAAACATGGTCTGTTGATTTTAGCGCGCAGTCATTTTCTTTTCGATGAAAATGGCTCAGTCATTGTAGCCGAGATAGGACTTGTAGCTTGTCCAGAGCAACAGAACCTGTCAAATTAATTTCGGCTTCTTCGGTTACGCTGTCTATATATGTGATCCTGTAATCCTGCGTGAAACTTTCCTATCAGCACTGTTAAAAGA